GCACTCAATCCCACTGTCTATGGCATTGACATAGATGTGTGTGAAGATTATTTCTCAGGGAAAAGTTTTCTCTAGTACTAATTACTATAATTTGCGCTTTTACTGTAAGTAGAAGGGTGAGGTTTTCTCAGGTGTTCTATGTTTCTATTCAGATATTTCTTTATTATCCTCTAAAGATATGCAAGTTCTCTCTGTTTTTTTTTTTAACTTCCTTAAATGTATTATTTCATATTTCAGTTTCAAATACAAAGTCATCTGATTCATTGTGTTTTTTCAGGGTCACATGGAGGGGGAAGTGTGGGGTCTAGCTACTCATCCTCATTTACCTATTTGTGCCACTGTAAGTGATGACAAAACCTTAAGAATATGGGATTTATCTCCTAGCCATTGTATGTTAGCTGTTCGCAAATTGAAGAAGGGTAAGATGCTTAGTATGAAAAAATATTTAACTGAATTCAGTTGACATTTACTAGCATTATCAGTCTTTCAAAAGCAAGACTGAATGAATTCCTTTCTTTGCTCAAATTATTTTATTATAGAATCATAGAATCATAGAATCATTAAGGTTGGAAAAGACCTCTAAGATCATCAAGTCCAACTGTTATGTAGCCCTTAAGCTAATGAATCTGTACAAAAGGTTTCTGTGTAATACTCTTCTTAAGATTATTTGTATTTGTAACATATTTAAGTCAGTGAATTTGCAATAAAAGTTGAGCCAATTACATAAATCTGTTATGTTGCTTATAGTATTGCAACAGTGGAGGACTTCGAATCTAGAAATTTTTGGAAGAAATCATAGAAATAATGTTGACTTTCTCTTCTTTGTGAATGTTAGAAGAATCTGGAATGTCAAGGAAAGAGTCATAAAATTCTTACTTGTTGTATACTGTATAACTAAATTCTGTTTTGACAGATGGAAAATCTGTTGTAAGTGACATCATATAAGGAGACTTTTTTTAGGATTAGACCAGACTGGTCTTAACAAGCTTTTAATGATATATATGCTTTGCTAGACAAAGGAATACAATAGGCTTTATCTGTTTGGTGTTCAATAAAGCATTTTGATCCAAACTTTATAGGAAACTTAGTTGAAGATGATTTGGATTGATAAATGTAAGAAGAGTCATAAGCTGGCACAAGCAGGGATTAAACAAAGTTTCAAGTTGGTGAAGTCTGCTCAAGTCTTAAAGCTGATATTTCTTAATATTTTTAACAGTAGTTTTGGGAGAAAAATAAGCAGTGCGATGACTTAATTTGCTGATGAGACACATTTTGAGATGCTTTGGTGATCTTAAAAAGCACTTGTGTACTGTACAGAAAGAGCTGGATACTTCTGCAGACTGCAGTAATGGAAATGAGACAATATTTGGTAATTAAAAAAGGCAAGACTCGATGACTGTAAGAAAAATGTGTAGCTGAGGAGTAACTGCGGAGCAGAAGACTCAGGATGTTCTAGCTGATCGCAGGATGACAATTACATGTGGTAGTGAGGTATTTTTCCCAGGACATACTGAAGTATTCATGTAATTTACAAGAGACTGATCAGAATATTTTTGGTGTATACTTCTCATCTGTATTCAGCTGAATGAAATTAAACTGAAAGTTGAGTATGGAAAAAGAGGAACTACAGGATAATGAATGAGAAGCTTTGTGCTGGAATGAGCTAAATAAAGGATTACTGTCTACAAGTTAATCAGAAGAACAAATAGTAGGGAAAAATACTTATGCTAATGGAAAATTCTGGCAGGGAAACAAATCTAAGCTGACCATAAATAAGTTTAGATTGGAAATTGAACTGTTTTTCAAATGAAACTTCACATGTTTATTAAAGGGATTATATGACATAATGACCATGATAGCAAGCGACTGGATTCTGTGAGTCCAGAAGGTCTTTTCCAGCTGTGTTCTCCTTACCAGAGCAGATGGTAACAAACAACTGGCACCAGATACTAAGAAGGAGAGCAAATTAAAAATATATAGACAATAGTGATTAATCTGTATTACTAATGTAGAACATATGTCAATTAATATGCAAATAAATCTAATCTAAGATTCTGGGGTTGTGTATTTGTCGATTTGCCAATAGCTTCTGTGTGCTATCAGAGATGTAGAGTTTGGAAATGATCTTGGCAGCATCTAAAAAATTTCATTAGACTATATAATATAAGAATAGCTTTCCTTTACTACTGGAAAAATAAATCTAAAAGAGGGATTATGCACTGTAAATGTACCTGAATGCCATTTCTGTATTCCTCATAGGAGGTAGATGTTGCTGCTTTTCTCCTGAAGGAAAAGCATTAGCCGTTGGTCTCAATGATGGAAGTTTTTTGATAGTTAATGCGGATACCCTAGAGGATCTAGTCTCTTTCCAGCACAGGAAAGATGTTATTTCAGAGATCCGATTTTCTCCTGGTAAGTGATTTAAAATGAAGATTTTTATATCAAGGTTGTTCAAGCAAGCTTTATAACCTTTAAAAGATAAAAGAGGTAGAGATTTGTAGTACTCTTCTACATGTAACAAACAAGTCAGCAAAACTAATACTAACATTTTGAAAAATGTTGGGTGTGAAGTCCTGTGTTGCTCATTTAAAGATGAGGTTATTGGAATAGGTTTGCTCATAGTAACTTCCTGAATGCAACAGTTAATTTTAAATCATGAACATCCAGCAGCCTCCCTAGGTCCCTAGGGTTCCACTTTATGAGCTGCTTAAGTTTGGCTCTTCACTAGGGTTACTGTTAGCTAATGAGAATGCTTGAAACTGATGTGTCAGAAAGTTCTGGTGTCTTCTTTTTTCTTCTTTTTTCCCCCTACAGTGCTTAGCACTCCCAGTGAGGCTAGTTTTTTTTTCAAACAGTACAGCTCTTATTTAGGAACTCAAATGTATGGCCTAAACTAATACTACTACTTCAGTGAAAATATTCTTCTGTTGGAGAAATTTGATGCAAATTACTGATCCCAATTCTCATGCAGCATTACTTTCTGGTTACCTAAGCTTTACCACGCTCTGAGTGCACTAAATGTTTAAAATTTAATCAGATAGTTTTTATTGTTTGTAGATGTAATGATGTAGTGGTTGTATATTTCATACTGATTTTGATTGTGTGATATGAACATTAGTCTGTGAGGGACTATGTACCAATTAGCGAGCTCATTTCAAAGAAATCTGAGTTGCATATAGCTAAATTCCGGAATGTACTTGTGTTTAATATACAGAGGACTACAATTTTTGAAAATCTCTTGTGTTTCCACTGATGTGTTGTAGGGGCTGGAAAATACTTAGCTGTGGCATCCTGTGATAATTTTGTAGATATTTACAATGTAATGAGCAGTAAACGAGTAGGAATCTGCAAGGGAGCCTCCAGCTATATCACACACATGGACTGGGACATAAGAGGTAAGTAGTATTCATTCTAAAAATCTACTGGAAGATTGATTACATTATAGACTAAATACAGTACATCTACAATATGAATTTATGGTATCACTGACAGATTTGTTTCTTCAGTTTATGAATATGCTCACAGCATCTGAATAAATATAAAAACATGATTTTTACTACTATTTATATATTTAGAAGTTGTGCAATTTGAAGTAAAATACATTGTCTCTATAGATTGGTTTGTTTGGGTTTTTTTTGTCTTCTGTGTTTATTGTTTGACTTCTACTTCTTGAATAATGTACTGCATAATGCAGTTGCATCTGTAGCTCAGAAATATGTATCCTTGATATCAAAAATAGCAGAAAGATTGGATTTCCTGTCTTCCTGGGTCTTAATACATGATCAATTTAAATACTAACTTTAGTCCTGTTTCATACAAAAACAAGGCAGTGCAATTGTGCAATCTATTAGTTCCTGCTCTTATTCCTCTACATATAATCAGTTTTGAAACAGTCCAATTTAATTTGAAAGAGTG